GAGTGTTTAAGGTGGAAGCGTAGTCGGTTTATTCACCCCTGGTCATACATTTAAACTGATGTAGTCTGGTAGATTCTAAATGAAACGGTTAGGTTACACTAGTTACTTATAAGGAGGAAGATTTTGTCCCCAGAACTAGGTCTGTTTTTCCTTTTTAAATCTCTTTCAAGAATTTCGTTTAAAAATATGCAACACACATTACACAGATTGCACTCGCACATTCAGTGCGATGTAGACCAACAACTCAGTGAAACTTTCTCTTGTTCTACTGCCTTTTCGAGTAATTAAAACCAGATAACGTGGCCTGTGAACGTTGTAATTTGCAAACAGTTTACACCTGCAGTCTGAATAAAATTCGAGCTTTTCCACTGGTGTAAGATTTTCCGTTTGTACAAGCGAAAACTCCGGTTTAGCTCGAACCAATAGATAACTCCTTCCGGCTTTGGTTTTAAGAGATCGCTGACCGCTGCACGATCCAGTCACAAATAATCGTGGACAATGCAAGCCATGTACGTATTTCATCTCCATTCCACAACGCCACACTACTACGTCAGATAAAGGCACAATACCCATCCGTGAAGTATGAACTTATGAAACACTGGGAAGTTGTCGAGTGTACTTCGAACCCCGTCTGAACTACATAGTAGCACATAAGTATTCCCCTAGTCTATACAAAAGTATATTTTAAGACCAAGAACACAAACTGCCGAGGTCGGGGGTATTGTAAACACGAAAATAGGTCAGGCTGTAATGTGGTAAAATTGCCACATGATAACGTACGTTGCGGACTTTGGAGAGCCGTAGATCAAACTCTTGCAACAAGAGCAATTGAATGAGACTGTAACTTCTTTTCAACCCGATATAAATCAAGCCCCGAATCAAAATAAATTAAACGTAATAAAACTCCGGAGGGAATTTAGTGCATCTGCATGTGTCTTTTTATAGGGGTCGTTAGAAGTTGGGAGTCTTCAGCCGTGAAAATCGCGGAGCGAAGGACGTAAAACTCACCTTACAACCAAGGTGCCTGTCTCTTTAGTTTACACCCAACCGAATCAATCCCGTTGAGTTAATGCGCAAATTGCGCCGAGCAAGCAGTGTTAAGTTTCGCTGACTCAGCAGCGTCAAATGGCGCTGACTCGGCGGTATCGTCTAAAGTTGACTCGACGGTGAGACAATTCGCTAAGTTGCGCCGCTCGGTAAATCAAATTACGCTAACTAAGCGGAGGGAAAGTTATGTCGTTCGTTCGCTCTCATTTTCCGCGGAATAACAAATTAACACTTTGAAACACGTCACTCTAAAATTCGTCCCCAATTGAAACTCGCCGACCGCTGCGCTCGCATCTGTGCAAAGCCGATTTTCAATAAAAAACGAAACAAACCGTAAATGCACATTTGTGTCGTTTCCAACTAACGACTCTACATCGGATTCTCGTCAGTTGGAAACAGTAATTATTCCAAATGAATCGAACCGTCTGCATTAGTAAAAAAGTCGCCTTTCTAGCAATTTAACTGCTGACACACTCATTTATTCCCATTAAAATTGCCCCAGCAATGATGAATTCCTTCGCATCTGACAAAGCTCATGGTAATTTTTCACCAAGACAACTCGCGCTTATCTGTCTTCTTACGATGTTCTGGAGCCCCCATTCCACGTCCAAATGCAAGCGCGCTCACCTTTTCAAACAAAATTAAACGTCACTTGTTGCCGCCGAAACAAAAGAGGAGAACCTAACAAAGGTAAAGCCTAGTCGACTAGATCCCGCATGTGAGGGTGGCTCTAATCCGGACATATACGACCATTATGAACCCGGTCCAGGGCCGCCTGGGATTACTCATACGCGAATGTATATTAAGCGGATTTTTAGATTAGCAATATAATTAAATCTAAGCCTCGAAGTGAGAAACAGTGGTTTCAGCAGTTTTCAGCCGGTTTCGGGGCTTTCCGATGTGTTTATTAAAAGCCACGCATGCTAAGAACTTAATCCCACCCCCGATGACCTTGAAGCGAAATACAGAAAAACCGTGTCGGCTCCGTTTTTTCCGTGGAGTTTGTTTCGTCTGTCGACTAGACAGCATAGCTTCCAGCGGAAGCCCGACCTTTGCTAGTTCAACATGTAATATAATATGTAAAGTTAGTCGCGATATAAAACGCCGTTGATTAGCTTGCAACTTCCGTTTTGTGCCGCTAATGAAAACACAGCGTTGCAGCAGAAATTTTCCCCCCTAAAACAAAGCCGATAGTGCCCTCTCGCGGTCGAACCCCCATTATTGGATGAATAATTAACCATTTTTCGGCATTCTAATGGAAATTCTCTATTTCCATATTTGCATTGTGCGCCTATAATATTTTCCAGCGGAAATTTAAATTCCATCCAAGTGCGCTGTCGTAACACTGGATGTAAAAAGCCCCCGGTTTCTTTTTGTTCGGTTGGCACTTCTGGTTTTACAAATGGTATAATTTTAAAAAGTACACTTGCCACACAAAGCGGACGCCCAGCTTGTGACGTAAATCAGAAAGTCATTGTTTTATTCAAGTGGAGGGGGCACTTTAAATCCCGGATTTTTCGCTTTTCGGAACGGAATCCAATCGACTGTTCCTTATTTATCCCTTCTTTTATTTGTTAAGTAAAGCACATCCCTCTCTGAATTTATATCCGTTATTTACGCGTCTAATCAATATCCTTCGATACGTATTTCCACTTAGGCTCTGTACACAGACGACCATACATCGTATTTCCCGATTTGGAACAGCTGAGGTCGCCAGAGGCGGATTCGGGGCTTTTATGTCCACAAAAACTCTTCTATGAACTCTATTTCCGTTCGCGTGGAAACGAAAAATGTAGTGAACGCCCAAAGCACCGATCGAGTACAAGCGGAGAATCGCAGAACTTTCCGCTCATAGGGCTTATTTATTTTAATACGTCGTATTGAACAACTGTCACTTTCGTAAATGTAGGTTTAGAAATTTGCAGAATGGAGCTCGCTTCGCTCTCTTATAGAATTGGTTAATATAGTTCGCTTCACCTTTTGAAAGAATCTCGAAGGATTGTGATGTGTATAATAAATATAGTTTGGTGAAAGATTTCGTGGTTTCGTTTCTAGAGTTGCATAATACTTCGTTCTCCTGTTTACCAGTTGAAAACATTCAGTGAATGTAGCTTATATCTCGAAAGCGAAGAATATTTTTCTGTCGCTTTGGATCATTTGCATTCAGACTAACCTAATCTTCCCTTTCAAACGCAAATCTCGCCCTGTAAACAACTTTAATTATCCTTACGAATCAACGAGGAAGAGCCTTTCCGCTTTATAGCGGGATGCACTTAAAATGCCAATTTTTGACGTTATGAGCGAAATAAGTGGCTTTCTTAATATCACCTATAAAAATGTTACTACTTCCCTGAAGTGAATGTGTATGTGCGCTAAAACTTAACGTGGGTATACAATGTTACGGTAATGCGAGTTTTCGTTGAACCTTTATTGTTTTTGCGATTTATGATTGAATTAGGGAGATTACTTCAAAAATCGGTGGATTATCGATTCGCCGAATCCATTGTCAGTTTCCAGTAAAAATTTGGGTTTATTAAAATTAATAAAACCGAGTTTACACAGAGGTTTATTTTTGTTTGCGGCGGTATTTGTTCGTCACCTTTTTGTACGTTTTCATACAGAAAAACCAACAAACAACAAATAGTGATTGTATTGGATTGCAACATTTCCGAGAAATGTTTAAATTAATTTTCAATAAGGTCGAACGAAATAGCAGCGCTTACCTCAAAATTACTAGTTTATTTTAGGGTGCAATATCCAGGAAGAAATTACCCGCCCTTAATCGATTACCTCGTATCTTAATTGCGGTGGATTTAGCAACTTACTTAAAAATTGATCGAAATCCTGTCATTCAAAAATAATCCGCAAACTATGAAATGTTCAGCGGCGTAATGATGTTGTGCTTATACCCATTTTTCTCTCCCAAATTGGCAATACCGATACTTCAATCTTGATTGATAGTGCTTCTCAATAAGAGTCTTTGAAGTGAAATAACTTTTTCAATTGTGTTTTCTATTGCCCCGTTGTCTCTACCTCTCCATTAAATAATCCCTAACCTCCCCAAAAACAATAACTACGGCAGTCCGCGCTCTTTGTACGAAATGAGAAAATAAATAACAAAATAAATAAACTTTCAAACGTCTTTTGTCGAGTTTACGAAGGAACTTTTTGTCAAAGAATCGCAATTTATTTATCAGGCGTTTGTATTCAGCGTCAAGTGGTCCTGCTTTCGTTATTCTAAACATATTGACTTTTTGTTTGTTCAGCTACCTCAGTTTCAAAATCCATCCGAAGAGTACATAACGAATCCGAGATTACGCCTTCGCGTTAATAAATACGACAATTATTGCGTCGTAAACAAAGCTAATAATTTCGTAACGTTTCCATTCGCAGACGTAAAACTCCTCCCTGACAATCGTAAAATACCGCGAGCTTATTCTTTGATAAATGTTGACTTTTATTCCACAGGTTGTCAGTGGACGTACGAACGGATGTTCTCGTCCCAGATTTGATTTAAACCGGGTAGTATGGGACGTTTTAATTGACAAATGTTTCTGGTCACGAACGTACAAGGTCGATTCGCCGCCGAAAAATAATTTTTGAATTATTGAAAACAGTCACGACGGTTAAGGGTTGTTCTAAAGTGGAGAACTGTGTCCGTGATTGATTAGCGCGGTTATGAGTAGGAAATAAAATAATTGAGAGCCTTTTTAAGGGCGGTGTTTATGGGGAAGGTTATAAATTTGTTTTCACGATTGTTTCAAGACATAAACACATCAATCTTTGCGAAATGGTGAAAAGCGAGGTCAATAAAATACAAAGTCTTGTAAAAGGGGAACAATGGACAGCAGATTCTTCGGATACTAGCCGGCCTTTAGGGTAAATAAAAGAGATTGGGTCCACTATCGCCGAGAGAGGGAAAAATCAGAAACTAATTAGATATTTTGTTTCAGATGTTTGGACTGGAGCCTGTTTTGTCCGGGAGCACCTTTAGCCCATCACAAAAGAACCCCTCGGCAATCCTCCAAGGAAACAATTAATTTGAAGAGCTCGCCATCAGTCCGTCGTCGCTTCTCCTTAGTGTTTTCCCGTGTTGGGTATTTTTTTACTGCTTTGCAAAAGATTGAAAGTGTAGATTTTTCATTAAAAGTTGGGCAAAGTTTTCGCGGATTCAGTTCTGTCGTAAAAACAGATTTAAATTCAAATTAATATCGGCGATTTTTTCCTGACGGGATGTTTCCAACTTAACGAAGATGGGTATTAAGAGCAGGGGAGTTTTCTGGATTTTAATTTTCTTGGCTTTAATACTTTCGACCAAGTGCAATTCGTTCATGAAGAACGCCAAGATCAGTACACGGATCGTGCAGACGCGCTACGGCCGGCTGCAGGGCCTGGTCGTGCCCATGGACCAACACCGGTACCTGAAGCCCATCGAGATCTTTCTGGGCGTACCGTACGCGACGCCGCCGGTGCAGTCCAACCGGTTCAGCCCCACGAGGACGCCCAGCCCCTGGGACGGCATCAGGGTGTCGGACCAGGTAAAATAAAGATGGGAGTGATCGGATTGGATTTACTAATAAACCAGCTATTGCCACGGATTGAAAACAAATGTGTTTTTCCTTAAGGTGGGACCCGTCTGCCCCCAGAAGCTCCCTGATATCACCAACGAAACGGCGGCGCTGGAGAAGATGCCCAAGGGGCGGCTAGAGTACCTCAAGAGGCTGCTGCCATATCTGAAGAACCAGAGCGAAGACTGCCTTTACTTGAACATTTACGCCCCCGCACAAGGTAGGGTTATTTCATGCAAACATTTCCTCCTTAATCTTGTATCGAAATTTCCGGAGGCACTCCGTCAATACTCAAGAACCTAATCTCGCTAATCTCGCCATAAATTCTTGATTGCATCTTGCCAATCGCGTAATAAATTTTGACCGGCGCTCCTTCCATAATTCCGACTTTGGCTCGATCGTTAATAAAACTTTTAATATAAGAGACAATTTTCTCCAACCCTCACTGCCTCACTAACATAATTATTTCCCTTGTAATCGCCTCGCCGACTCGGGGCACCTTATAAATAATAAAAGAGCCAAGCATTGATGCAAAAATCCATAGCGTCGTTTAATTGGAAACTCTAAAACGGAAAGTAGCCACAGGCAAATCAAAACTAGCACAAGAATCGCTATAAAAGTTTCAATCAGCGTTAAATGTACTCCTTTTTCGCGGAACGTTTGCGGAATAAAGTGCATCGATGTTGCATGTTTATCATACGAAATCATCAAAAGCGTTTTTACATGTATATACGTATCTGAATAAATTTATCGACGTTGCAGACGTCTAGTTCGTCAAAAATATCCCGGGAATAAAAACGCCTACCGTCGCGCAAAAATCCGTAAATGTCATTTAATTGGAAGCCCGGAGAAAAAGTGTCCACATACAAATGGCGCAGTCGCCGGGGTAACACATCCCCAACTGAATCGCCTATTTTTTAACCCGTTATTTTTGTCTCCGGGCATCTGCTGCCGACCTGAAACAAATCCAATAATGCCGGTGAACAAATTAAAGAGGAATTTCGGAAAAGTCCAGCATAACATATTCCTGTGGCGTCCGCTATATGTACATAGTTAAATGAGTTTCGAATTTAACTTGGCCGGGTTCCAGCTTGCATTACGACTCAATCGATAGGACAAAATTTAAGGCTTTAAGAATTCGGTCAGTGTAGGGACCGGCTTAGCCTTTATCTCCGGCCCTAAATCACGCCGCGGGGGAATAATTGATCGACCGGTTAGGTTACCGCTTATCCGGTTATAATGCAAAAGCGGTATTGGTTTAGGGAGACGATTCCGCGTGAGATCGGTCTAAACAAAATATCGCAGCCAATAACGAAAACATGCTACGGCTGAAACAAAGCCAAAGATGAGGAGATGGGGAATAAAATTAAGGTTTATGTGTTTTCGGTTGGCGGAAATGGCCGAGGGATTTATCAAATTTTCGCTTAGTTGCTGGCTTTAGCTGAATTATTATGAAATTAGTTCGTAAATTAGATGTGTTTTTCGCGCATATGCCGAAAGGAATTCCTTGGGCCAAGTGGCGTGTTTTTAAAACTGAATGTTTGCATGCTTCTTTCGGTGATTTACATGAAATAAAGGCATTTGAATAAGGTGAAAAATTGATCCGTCACTCAACCGCGCTGAAGGAGAGTGCATATTTGAGTTTGTTCTATACTCGCGGGGTTATAAAACTCTCTTAAGCAACGGAAACAGATAGTTATTACAGTTAATTGTGTGGTGTTTGTTTATTAAACAGTTAATGTACTCTCATTTATCATTGTTTGCAGTATTTATTTTCTCTAGGGTGGCAAAATTTATTTAAACGCTGTAAATAAATACAAATTATTTATTGACTATCAGTTATATTCATATTGATGTAACATCCAAACTAAACTAAAACTTTCAACACGTAAAATCTCTCTTTCTTTGTCACACACGATAACTCGTAGAACTGTTGTTCTTGGGTGTAGTCTGAAAAATTGCCCGTTGGATTGAAAAATGTTTTTGTCGAGCCGTCGAGATTGACGATGTTTTTGGATATTCTCGCTTAGAAAAGGTCAATTCGCAGAATTTAATAACCTTTATGAATTTTACCAGTGTTAGATCCAATTTAAAATGAAACATCTCTAATAAAACTCTGGTCTGGCGATCTTTATTAAAAATTTAATATCCAATAAAGTCTTAATTTCTAGACGCAGCAAATACCTGTTGCATTAACTTTGTCTTATCTATTACACCAGAAAAATAATTTTTGATCTAATCAATACGAAAGAAAACGCCTTATACACTTCTTCCTCTTATTTTTATGGACGTTTTTTATAGGGCTAATATTTCTTCTGTTTTTCATAAACAACAAAATTATAGCCTTTTACCTAAAATTTTATTATCGAAGTTACGTGTTTGCCAATGGAAAAATAAGAAGTCTGGGGAAAATTTCCTTTTACGATCACTTTCTTTTGTTGATAATAGATAAGTAGTCGACAAGGGCAAACGCATTCATAAAGACGGATGGAACCAGCGTTTAGGGTCAACGTTAATTGTCGTCACTCTATCTACTTTAATGTAAATAATACATACATTTATCAAACAATCTCTATCTTTATTGGAATGCTAATTGCCTGAGGCAATTACCTTCGACCTAATTTGACCTCGTTAGCAAAACAGACCCGCATCTGCACCTGGTCCATATTTGTTCCAATTTATATGAACGAGCTTACCGCAAAGCTGCAACGTACTGAAACGCATAATTCGTATTTATGTTTATCACCAAACTGTACGCCAAACATTTTTTCTCAAACGCAAAATTTTAATCAACAAGGTATATTTTTTGTTAAAGACAGAACGTTTAATTAAATTTGCTTGTATTAAAATGGTGGATGCGCCGGGTCAAGGCTTACAATGTTAAGTCGAGATTATTGGTGTTGTTTGTTTGCCGGATGTAATGAAGCTTTGGACAATACGTCTTTGTCTGGGCGTTTTATTTGTTTTTTTGTTGATAATAACGGTGACCTTTGTTATTTTTCTGTACAGTGTTTTTCAATAATGTGCTTTTGATGTATTAAAATACGAAAATTCCGCCATTTGAGCCGAAAATTGAACATCCACTCTTTGTTCTAGACGTGTTCGGTCGTTGTTAAAAAAATAATTAGTACGTTCGAATCTAACGTCCATTGTCTAAGTAATTTAGAAAATAGGTTATTATGTGTATACTATTTTTGACGTGTTTTCGATACAATGAGACATCAGGAGTATAATTACCATTCATAAGCATTTCTACTGAACGTTTGTCGAAGTATATGTGCCACGTAAATTCAAGCACACATTACCTTTATAACTCTCCGCTATTGAAAACTCGCTGCAATACAGATTGCCGTCGATTGCATGAAACTCCCTCCAAATACCGTCGAACAAATTAATGTAATATTTGCTTGCACACATCGATATTTCGTAAACAATATTTCAATCAACTCGTCGCATTTCAATTTCTGCCCATGAGCACACTTTGATAAATCGGAACTATTTCTGCCTCTAATATTCCGCGAATATGTTTAATTTCGCATATTACTGTCGAGCGTATTCAATGTTCCTGCAGCGTTCCACCAGCCGTTTAAAAATAAATGAACCGATTAAACGCAGTCGATGACGCCTCTCGAATAAACTGCGAAATTTATGGCTCCACATTTGGCGTTTCCTGCTGGAGCAGGATGCGGTTTCACTTCTTGCAGATGTGTAATTACCATCGTACATGTTGCGAGTTTACACACGGAAATATGCCTAAACTAACATCGCTCTTCAAGTCTGTTGTTTTAGCGTAAGCGGAAGCGCCTGTTTGCTTGTACAAATAAAAGAAGCTTATCTAGAGCAAGTCATCGCCACACGCAAAAACACCAGTCAAAACAAGTGAAATAATTTTACCGTTTCGATACGTTTTGGCCAAAATCTGGAAGGAATATGCGCCCATTTTTGGATATTTATGAACGTAATAGATTTTTTTCTGGACATTTATTCACTCCAAACTCCGTTTTTATGGTCTACGCTACTGTCGAAGTTAGCCCATTCTAGAAAAAATTATTCAACGTTAATCGTTACGTGTGAGAAGATGTCATTTTTATGTGAGTAAAACTGGATTTTTTTTTGTGAAAACGATTTTTCTGTTGTACGTACAGCCTGGATTAAAAGTACTTGCGAGTATAAGAGCACAGAACCGAGAAATCTAAGAGGCAAGTTAAATCGTACGTAGAACAAAAGAGTGTGATCCATCGACGTGTTGATCGCACTTTGAAACTCGGTAAAGTAAGTTAATGTACTTTAGCAATATTTCAACTACTGGTTGATATTCGAAAGGCTTTTAGCAGATGAATTATTTAGTAGTGAAGCATTTTGCTTGCGTACATTTTCAACTGCAATTGGAAAACAGTTCATATTTCATTTGGAAAATATTTAATGCAGCGTCTGGTAATTTATAGTTTGTTGAGTAATTCGCAGCGTTCCGAGGGACGTGCAGACGAATTCCTCCGCAGTTAAAACATCAGTTTTTTTGTAATCGTCGCCGAGTCGCTCCAATCAAGCAGGAGACAAATTCCTAACTCGTACCCGGAACGAGTAAAACAAATAGGCCAAATCAAGTAAACATGGAATGTTTGGATCAACGACGACGAGGAAGGAAATTTAAAACTGAAATAAGTAAACTGAAATGAGATTTATACAGTCGATTGTGTTCCGATTGGCCCGACTTCGATTCGACAGGAGACATATGTGGAAGGGGTGCCGCTCGCCCCGGAACGTTCCCTTGCTTACAAACTAGTAACTCGATGCACGAAAGCTGCTTAGCATAGAAAATCGATCATGTAGGTACCCACACGGCGAACGAAATGTCAAAGATACACAAAGTGCTCCGAATCCCTGTCTACACCGCAAATAGAGACGCTGACATTAGGAGCGGCGCTGGGGGCGACGCGGGCCCCAAGGAAATGTACAGATGTTCCCCAAATTCCGCCTGTTAAGGTTACGCGGCGTGGTGGTAGATTTTTTTCGAGAAATTACAGCGACTGGGAACAGCTGCCGAAATACTAGTGCTTCGGATGACATTTTATGGTTGTAATCCATATAATGGTGACATGCAGTCGGAAAATACGTGCTTACCTCAAAACTGGGAGGAAAAGATATACTGCGATCTTGTATTTTCTGCAGCAATCAGTATCAGCAACCCCATGAAATTCTATTCCCTCATCGATAACGTTA